GAGGGGAGACCAAGGGCCCGAAGGCCAGAGACAGGAGGCGTAGGCGGCCGCTGCTGCTGCTGCTGCTCCTGCTGCTGCGGCTGCGGTGGCGGCTGCTGCTGCTACTGCTGCTGCTGCTGCTTCTGCTGCTGCTGCTCCTCCAGCTGCTGTAGCTGCGGCTGCTGCTGCGGTGGCGGCTGCTGCTGCTCCTGCTGCTCCTGCTGCGGCGGCTGCTGCTCCTGCTGCTGCTGCTGCTGCTGCTCCTCCAGCTGCTGTAGCTCCAGCTGCTGCCGCTCCAACTCTAGCCTCTCTCGCTCCAACTCCAGCTGCTCCTCACGTGCACGACGAAGAAGGGCCTGGTGCCGGGTCGAGTAGGGGTGGGGGGGAGGAGTAGTGTCCGGGGCGGTGGTAGCCCCAGGACCGCTCTCCAAAGCACCAGTCGCACCACCCCCAGAGCCAGCACCACCAGCAGCAACGCGGCCAGTCCCAGGCTCTCCAGGTCCAGCAGAGGGCGCACCCGCACCCCCAGTCGTAGCACGCCCAGGGACATCTCGACGAACACCAGCTCCCCGAAGACTAGAACCTCCTGCAGACACGGGCTCAGCTCCAACTCCAGCACCCTCAGCACCAGGACCTCGTGCAGGCACACTCTCAGCTCCAACTCCAACACCTCCAGAGGTAGCACCTCCAGGGTCCGCACTACGGACACCAGCGCCCTCAGGGTCAGCAGCGGCCTGTGCAGGAAGTGCTGACGGCTGCTGCGGTGACTGTGAGGAGTTCTGCGGAGAAGGGGACGGGACCTGAGGGGCTACCGAGGGGGGGGGAGGGGGGGGGTAGCGTGTGACACACCTGACAGGGCTGGACCAGGGGGAGGAGGCTGTACCGGAGGAGCAGGAGGGGGAGTGGGAGTCAGGAAGAGAGGGGGAGGAGGAACCGGGAGACCTCGACAGGGGTACCGGGTGTAATAGGGGACTGACTCGTCAAAACGGACGTCACGGGAGTCAAGAAACTGGTGAAGGGGAGGGTGGTAGAAGGTGAAGTCAGAGGAGTCCTATGGGAAACCAACGAAGACACAGGGAAGGGCGCGACGGGAGAGCTTGTCCGCGGAGGTGTCGCGAACAAGCGCCAAGCAGCCCCAGACACGAAAACGCGACGCAACACCAGGGGACCCGGTCCAAAGACTGGTCGGTGAAACTCCTGGCCGGGAGACACGTGGCCAGAGGTTCAACTGGTGAGCGGCGTACCGAACCGCGTAGGGCCACAGAAAATGGGGCGCACAGGCGAGAACGCTGGAGCGAAACTCACCCCCACGGTCGGAGTGAAGACAACTGATACGACGCTGACGAGTACCCTCTGTGGTGAGCAACCACCGGATCAGCGTAGAAGTCACGTCGGACTTCTTCGCCAAAGGGAAAACGGTGGTGTACCGAGAGTAGTCATCGACAACCACGAGAAATAAACTCTCTCGCTCAGGACCAGGGCGAGAGGCGGGGCCCCAGACGTCCAAGTGGAGAGTCTCGAAGGGCTCAGTGGCCGGACGAAGGGAGGAGGAGTGAGGGGTGGCGCGCAGCCGACCCTCGACACAAGGGCCGCAAGGTGGTGCAGGCGAAGGCGGCAGCGACGGCAAGACTCGCGGGAGGCCTAAGACAAGACGCTGACTATACATAGTGCGAAGGCGAGGAAGGGACGGGTGACCAAGACGGTGGTGCCACAGAACGGTGGGGTGGGCAAGCGACCGACACGAGCAAGAAGCAGCAACCTGACCAGACGCCGTAACCGGACCAGACAAAGCTACCTGGTGGGACGCGGGGACCTGACGGGGGGCAGTGACAGGGGTCGGAGGCAGCAGCAGCTGCTGCTGCTGCCTCTCTCGGGGGCCAGTGTGAAGCGTGTAGAGACCAGAACCCGGCTCCTGGCGAAAGGTGGCCAGGGGGGCGTACGTGTCACCGTCCACACAGGTCGCAGAGTCCCCAGAAGGCTCAAACCAAACACCAACGTGCTGATTCACGAGCGGCCACACACCCACCAAGTTCCTAGAGAACGAGGGGACGTGGAAGCCCGTCAGAGAACCCGAGGGAACAGCCGGGCACGGAAGCGTAGTAGAGTGGTGAGCAATGACTGGTCCCGAAGTGGGATCAGCCAGTGCTATAGAGACTGGTGCAGGAAGCGGAGTAAGAGTCGTGTGGTCGCGGAAGAAACACTGCGAAGCTCCGGAGTCCAGGGTGAAAGACAGCGAAGCGTCCGCCGGAGTAGCAGCTGGACGAGTACCTAATCAAGCACCTACACTAGCAACTGGCACAGGATCAACACTAGCACCTAAGCTAAAAACACGCGAGCAAACGGAGTCAGAAGCACTAGAGTCAACAATAGCATACATAGCATTTGCAGTTCCTAAGAGTTCAAGTAACTGAGAAGCAGACATGTCCCACAGTGCGGGACCGTGCGAGAGAACAAGGGGAAGCCAGTCAGGAGCAGGGCCGTCTGCGCCGTAGGCCGCGCGAAGTCTGTCAGTGAGCTGAGCAAAGCACTGACCCGGTGGGTGACGGCGGTCGCAGCGGAGGCCTCTGCGAGTACCTGACTGGATGAGGTAGGGGCAGGGTGGGTGGGCGTCACCACGCGACAGCTGACGCGGTCCTGACTCGTGCCTCTGAACCTGCTGCTGCCCCTGCTGCTGCTGTGGCTGCTGCGAGAGCAGTGGCTGCTGCTGCTGCTGCTGCTGCTGCCGCTGCTGCTGCTGAGCCAGGTACCAGGCCGCCACCCCAGCACCTGCAGCTGGCAGCCCCGCAGGTGCCCGACGAACCCGAGCGTCACCTGCACCAGCTGCAGCAGGGGAGCCACTAGAAGCTGCACGTGCTCCACCAACACCTGCACTCCCGCCACCGCCACTCGCCACGCCACCTCCGCCGCCTCCGCAGCTGGCTGCACCCTGGCCGCCCCTCCTGCCACTCCTAACTCTAGACCGCGCAGAAGTCGTGACAGCAGCCGTGATCTCGTCAGTAGCGGTAGCGGCGAGGGAGGCAGTAAAGGTGGAAAGCTGTGGGATAGTGCACCCGTGAAACATTGGGGGGGGGCACAGCGCCAGAGGCGGAGGCTACCGATCGGAGGTTGCTCTCGACGTCCTTGAGTGCAGACTCAAGGACCTCGATAGTGAGCTCGCTAGGGTGCTTCAGAAGAAGCGCGTCGCGAACTGTGGCAAGGCGGTCAGGGAGGCTAGTGACGATAAAATAATTAGTAATCGCCATGGGGGGGGGAGCAGTGCAAGCTGTGCATCAGCGCAGGCAGCACGGTAGCTAGAATCCAGCGAACGCAGGTGAGCGATCAAGTCTGCAGAACTCTCAAACGAGGCGAGGCCAGGAAACAGGAACGGGAGGAACAGGCGACCGAGAGAGACAGTGGTGGGAGTGGAGTAGCGGGCCTTGATCGCAGTCAGGAACTCGCTAGCAGTGCGAACCTGGGTGAAGTGGGTCTCCTCAGACTCAGGGAGGAGGCTGCTGAGGGCGATGCAGGCCGCGGCGCCGCGCGACTTCCAGGCTGTCAGGGCAGCGCGCTGACGTGCAAAACGCTCTCTGTCCGCAGTGGTGGGGTCAGCGCCTAGGGGTTCAGGAGCAGAGGGCGCAAGAAGGTCACCGGAGGCGTGCGCCCAGAGGTGCTGCGCACGGAGGAGCCAGACAGAGAACTCCAGCGGCCTACCCTCGGCATCAAAGCGCAGGACCCTAGGCGTCGCCATAGCTGATGCGGAGGGGAGGGAGCTACTGCTGCCACGTCTTAGTTTGGCGGAGGAAACCCTAGCTGATGGGGACGGGCAGGGCGCGACACGACGGGACGGGCAGGGCGCGGCGCGACGGGCAGGGAGGCGCGACGGGCGCGAGGGGACGGGACGGGACGGGCGCGACGCGACGGGACGGGCAGGGCGCGACGCGACGCGACGGGACGGGCAGGGCGCGACGCGACGGACAGGGAGGCGCGACGGGCGCGAGGGGACGGGACGGGACGGGCGCTACGGACGCGAGCAGACGGGACGGGACGGGCGCAACGGGCGCTAGGGGACGGGACGGGCGCGACGGTAGGGCGCTACGGGCGTGGTAGGCTGGGCGCAACGGGCGCGAGAGGCTCAAGAGGGAGGAACGGGATTCAACAGCATCCTAACCTAGGTGATACCATGTCAGAAACGGAATGATATGTGTATTACTGTGAGTTGAGGTACATATACCTAACCCTAACAGCTGTACCCCACATGACATGCCTCACTACAGGCTACAACATTTGACAAATTGGACCATGTTGTCGACTTTCGCAAAGAATTTTGTCGACAATATGGTTGACAATTTTCGGCCAAAAGCTGTGTTCGAGGATCTTACACGCCCGTAGAATGCATTTTGGCATGATTCGTTTTCCAGCGCCTGTGACACCTCCTTTTGAGTCACCCCTCCCAGGATGTACCCTTAGACCCTGTCAGCACCAAAACCCTTTTTGGTCTCTGCTAGCCCGAATTCTGTGTTAGAGATTCATGCCCTGCAGCAGGCATTCACTGATGCCCTTGCATTGTCTCTGATGTGTGAACCGTATCCCCGTTTGTCACTCCTGCTCCTCGGATGTGTGCCGGACCACCCAAGGATGGTCTGCATGAGGGACAAAATAGACATGGCAAGGCACGGCATGGAACAGGATGACAAACGCTACATGGATTTGTCAGTTGACAGGCCTGCGCCAGTGTGGTAGCATCACATTGTGTTGAGCAGCAGAGCAGAGCTGATGCTGAGGAACCCTGTTGTTTGAGAGCACTGTGCACTGTGCAAGTATGCTTGCGGGCATGTGAGCATGTGCGGATGTATGCTTGTGTGCATGTGTGCATATATGCTTGTGTCCATGTGCATGTGTGCATACGCGCATGTGTCCATGTTCGAAATGTGCGCATGTGTGCAAGTGTGCACGTGCGCACGTGTGCATGGGTTCTTCTTGAGCATGCGCATGATGATGCCATGCTCAGCTCCTCCCCTCGCAAAGACACCCACGCCCTGGACTCACTCATCGCTTGCTCTGCTGTGATGCGGAAGCACTGCTTCTTCTGGGAGCATGCGCATGATCACGATACCATGCTCACCTCACCTCAGCTCCTTCACGTTGCCATGCAAACCACGCATGAGCGATCATGCCCTAGACACTCACTCATCACTTCTTGAGCCGTGATGCGGGACCGCGGGTTCTTCTTGAGCATGCGCATGATGAGCTCCTTCACGTCGTCAGACACGCCCGCCCACTTAAAGTACTTGAAGTCCACCTTCTTGCGCCGTATCGCCTCCTCCAACGTGCGATTCGTTGACGCCCAGAAGGGCGGCACGCCCGACAGAATCACGTAGAGCACGACCCCCGCGCTCCAGATGTCCGCCTCCACTCCGTACACCGCGTCCAGCACCTCTGGCGCCATGTACTCGGGCGTGCCCGCCACCTCCGAACACGGGCCCGCTGTGGAATGGGGGGGGGAATTGGGGAAGGGGGGGGAGTGAGGGGGAGGGGAAGAAGGACGGGCAGAGGGGGGTGGGAGATGGAGAGGGCGGGGACAGCAGGGAGAGCGTACTGGGATTCGCTTGAGAGTGCACTCCAGATGTCTGCCTCACCACTTTACACCGCGTCCATTACCTCCGCCACCTCCCCCCCCACTGTACTCGGGCGTGCCCGCCACCTCGCCGCATGGGCCGGGTGAAAGTGGGGGGTTGGGGGACCCGGGATGGAGAGGGGGAGGTGGGGAAGGGGTTGGGGACGGGAAGCTTGGAGGGAGAGGCGGAAGTTACTAGAAAGGGCAAGGGCTGGACCAACTGGAAGTGTGGATTGAGATGTTCTTGAAGGGACTGATAGCTGCAAGACGCCCTGGACCGAAGCAGATGCATGGTGGGCGGAGGGGTCAGCTGGGAGGAGAGCAGGCGGCCAGAGAGGTGGGGAAGGAAGGGTATGAGAAGGGAGACAGGCTTCAAAGAGCGGATATTGGTAGGAGGGAGAAGGGAGAAGCGGGAAGGTAGTGGAGAGAGTTTTGGTAAAAGAAGAGAAGAAAAAAGGGAGTGGAAGGAAGAAAGTAGAAGCACTCCAATCCCCATCCGCATCTCTCCCTTCCCATCCGTGCCACCCCACCGTCGCCTCACCTTGCCCGAGACTGGTGGCGACGCCAAAGTCAATGAGCTTGATGCCCTTGCGGTCGTCCGTGCGGTCGGCCATGAGGATGTTCTCGGGCTTCACGTCGCGGTGCAGGATGCCGTGCGCGTGGCAGTGCTGCAGCGCGCCCATCAGTGCCCTCAGCACCAGCGCTGCCGTGCGCTCCGACAGCTGCCCGCGCGCCTTGATGCAGTCGAACAGGTCCCCGCCCGCACACAGCTCCATGATCACGCGGATGCTCTGTGTACAACAGGGGAAGGGGGGAGGGGGAAGGGGGGAGGGGGAAGGGGGAAGGGGGAAGGGGGGAGGGGGAAGGGGGGAGGGGGAAGGGGGGAGGGGGAAGGGGGAAGGGGGAAGGGGGAAGGGGGAAGGGGAAGGGGGAAGGGGGAAGGGGGAAGGGGAAGGGGGAAGGGGGAAGGGGGAAGGGGGAAGGGGGAAGGGGAAGGGGGAAGGGGGAAGGGGGAAGGGGGAAGGGGGAAGGGGGAAGGGGGAAGGGGGAAGGGGGAAGGAGGGGATGGGATGGGGAATGCCCGCGCGCCTTGATGCAGCCAAACAGGTCGCAGCCCGCACACAGCTCCATGATCACTCGGATGCTCTGTGCATGGGAGGACGAGGAAGGGGGGGAGGTGGGGTGGGAAGTGGGGAGGGAGTGGGGAGGGGACGATGCGCAGGAGGAAAAGAGCGGATGATGGTGCTGATTAGGGCCGTCACAGCAGTGCTGTCTGCCAGCCAGGTGTGGTTTTGAAGCAGTCGAACAGATCGCCGCCCGCACACAGCTCCATGATCACGCGGATGCTCTGAAAATGGGGGAGTGGGGAGAGGTGCGGGAAGGCCGAGGCAGCACGTCAGCATGATTGTTAGTGCTGTGGCAGGACTGCTGAGTGCCAGGTCAGTGCGGGGTTTGATGCAGTGAGATAGGCCACAGCCTGAGCACAGCCCCATGGTGAGACGGGTGGGTGAAAAGGGGCTGGGAAGTGGAGGGAGGGAGAGGGAGAAGGGGGTGGAGGAGGAGCGAGAGTGGCAGTGGGCAAAGAAGGGATGTTGAGCACATGAGTGTGGTGTGTGAGGTCAAGAGCGTCATGCGCACACGAGAAGCAAGCCGCCTCAACAGCTGCCCCCTTGCACAACGATTGCCACAGGACCATTTTGGGACTGACTCAGTGCGAATGGGCCAGCATCTATGGAATGCTACTTCCACGTAGGCCGGTGATTTGAATATGGTCATCCGTGGCCCCTCCCATGATCACACCATTACCATGCACATGACTGGTCGCACGCTCCAGAGCTACGCTTTGTTCATGCCAGACAGCGGCCCTTGTCATTCCCCCACCCACCCTTCTCCCATCACCCAGCCTTCCGCCCACCTGCTCGTCCTCATCACCACACATGCTCCCACCACACATGCTCCCACCACACATGCTCCCACCACACATGCTCCCACCACACATGCTCCCACCACCCATGCTCCCACCACACATGCTCCCACCACCCATGCTCCCACCACCCATGCTCCCACCACACATGCTCCCACCACCCATGCTCCCACCACCCATGCTCCCACCACCCATGCTCCCACCACCCATGCTCCCACCACCCATTCTCCCACCACCCGTGCTCCCACCACCCATGCTCCCACCACCCATGCTCCCACCACCCATTCTCCCACCACCCGTGCTCCCACCACCCGTGCTCCCACCACCCGTGCTCCCACCACCCGTGCTCCCACCACCCATTCTCCCACCACCCGTGCTCCCACCACCCGTGCTCCCACCACCCGTGCTCCCACCACCCGTGCTCCCACCACCCGTGCCCCACCTGTTCGTCCTCCATGACGCCCTGCAGGTTCACGATGTGCGGGTGGCCCTGCAGCCGCGCCAGGAACGCCACCTCCCTGCGCACGTCCTCCGCGTCCTCCATGCACTGGGAGTGTGGACAGCGGCGGGAAGGGGAGAGGGAGGGGCGTGAGGGGAGGGAGGGGCGGGAGGGGCGGGAGGGGCGGGAGGGGCGGGAGGGGAGGGAGGGACGGGAGGGGAGGGAGGGCCGGGGGGGGAGGGTTGGGGGACGTGTGTGTGTCGGGCATCCACCACCATCTGAGGTGCGCCCTCTTGGCCTCACCCTACTCCTCCTTGCCTTTCATCTTGTGGCATCTCGTAAAGACCTCGCTCCTTCCGCTCTCCCTCCCCTCCCCTCCCCTCCCTTCCCTTCCTCTCCCCTCCCTACCCTACCCTCCACTACCCTCTCCCCCGACAGCAAGCCCAAGCACAAGGGCAGCAGCGGAGAGGTGGCGCTCACAGTGATGCTCTTCTCGTCAGCACGCAAACACGTGCCCAGTGGCGCGCTCCAGGCACATAGCTAATGTTTATCGAGGACAAACAAAAAACGCACACCTGCAACAGAAAGTGGCGCTCACAGTGATGCTCTTCTTGTCAATGGTCTTGCACGCAAACACGCGGCCAGTGGCGCGCTCCAGGCACGTGCGGATGGACCCAAAGCGCCCCGCGCCGATCTCGTGCTTGCCCAGGGAGTAGCGCGCACGCACGTCCTCATACGGCATGCGCAGGATGTGGTCCGTTATGGGCGCCACCTGCCCCATTGGGTCGTCCCGCACCACCACGGGTAAACCCTGCTGCTGCTCCACCTGCTGCTGGGGGTGGTCCTGCTGGGGAAGGTCCTTTTGGGGGAGGTTGCTTTGAAGAGGTTTGTTTTGGGATGGGTGGTGCTGCTGCTGCCCGAGGCTGTGGCCTGTGCATGGCTGCAGCTGTTCCAGCTGCTCTATCATGCGCTTGGGGTGCGGTGTTGCCACCTGCTCCTCCTCCTCCTCCCCAATGCCCAACTCTGCCGGTCCTTGTGCAGTGGCAGCAGCAGCTGCCATGCCGTGCCCGCTCGCTGCACCTCTCTCCTGCCCACTGCCCAGCCTCGACCTCCTATAGCCCTCCCTGCCACCCGTACCACCAGCACCGGTACCGGCAGTAGCAGCGGCATGAGCATCATTGTCAGTAACAATCTCTCCGTTGCTGCTATCCCGGCCTCCCTCTCGGCTGCTGAAGCTGCTGTTAGCGTTCCCTGATGCCAGCTTGGCAGCGTCGGCCAGGAATGCCGCCAGCCGATCATTTGCACCACTATCACCAGCAGTACCAGCAGCAGTACCAGCAGCAGTACCAGCAGCAGTACCAGCAGCAGTACCAGCAGCAGTACCAGCAGCAGTACCAGCAGCAGTACCAGCAGCAGTACCAGCAGCAGTACCAGCAGCAGTACCAGCAGCAGTACCAGCACTAGCAGCAGCAGCAGCAGCAGCATGACGAGCAACGTCAGCAGCAGAAGAGGCAGCACCGCCACTGATGCTGTTACCAGTGCCGCTGCCACTGCCACTGCCGCTGCCGCTCTGCAGCCTCCTCCGCCTCATCTGCTGCAGCAGCTGCTGGTGCTCACTCGCCTCCTTCTCCTGCAGCTGCTCCAGCTCATACCCTTCCTGCTGCCTGTATCCCGGTTCCTGCTCATGACTCTCGTTCCCATACCCATACCCCAACCCCTCCCCCATGGCTCGCAGACCCACCTCACACGCACTCGCCTGCCTCCGACCCCTTCCCCCCTTCACTACTGCCCCTCCCCCTTCCGCTCCACCTACCCCACCCCCTCGCCGTTCGCCCCCCTGCCCCTCCGCCCTCACGTACCCCATCTCCTCCTTGGCCCAGCTGCTGCTACTGCTGCTACCGCCCTCTCCTGCTCTATCCATGCCCCCCAACCCTCCTCTCCCTTCTTCCCCTGCTCTCCTCCTAACCGGTGCTCCTCCTCCTCCTCCTCCTCCTACCCCTCCTCTCCCTCCGACCCCTCCTCCTCCGCCTCCTGCCCCCATCCCTCCCGCGTGCCCCATCCCCCCTGCTTGCCCCACCCCTCCCACTCCTCCCACCGCTCCCCCAGCGGCCATGCCACCAGCGAGGGCGTGGTGCAGGAGGTGGCGGGGCACGTCTTCGAAGCCCAGGTAGAAGTCCACAGCGGACGGGCCCGCTGCTGCCGTGTGCACCGCTGCCGCCTTGGCACGCCGCTGCTCCCGTGACGCTCGAATCATCTCGTCCACACTCACCATCCGCCTGTGCTGCTGACTCGTCTCGCCCTGCCCCACCCCGTCCCCACGGTTGACCACCCCTCCCGCTGCCCCACTCCCCCTGGCAGCACCAACACCAACAGCACCATCCCTAGCAGAATCCCCAGCGGCAGCAGCAGCAACAGCAGCAGAGCCAGCAGAGTGGTCAGTACCAGCATGGGGGGCAGCGGCGGGGAGGCCAGCAGCAGCCATGGCATCGCGGTACCGCACTGCCTGCAGCCGCTCTGCCCTCTTCTTCCTCCGCGCCACGCCATCCACCACACTCACGCCTCCCGCCCCGCCCGCCCCTCCCACCCCCCCTTCTCCATCCCCTGCCCCTGACCCTTCCTCTCCCCCTGCACCCTCCCCTTCCCCCGCCCCCACCCCTGCCCCTACTCCCCCTCGCCCTACCTGACCACTAGCAGCGGCGCTGCTGTTGGAAGCGCCAAGGGGGGACCCAGACGCGTGCCCCTGGTGGCCAGCCGCCCTGCCCCTCTCCTGCGCGCTGTGGCCCCCCTGCCTCTGCTCCCCGAACGACCCCATGTCGCCAGGCGCAGCTCGCTCCGTGGTGGATCCGCGCTGGCTGCTGCTTGCCCGCTCGCCCAGCGAGCTCCGGTCGCTGTACGATCCGTTCCTCCTCTCCCACTCCTCCTGCTGCTGCTGCCGCCGCCGCTGCTGCTGCTGGTGATGCTGCTGCTGCTGCTGCTGCTGCTGCTGCTGCTGCTGCTGCTGCTGCTGCTGCTGCTGCTGCTGCTGCTGCTGGTACTCCCCCTGCTGCTGCTGCTGCTGCTGCCCCTGCTGCTGCTGCCCCGGCTGCCGGTACTCTTCTTCCTCGTTCCCATACGCACCATCCACTACCCTCCTCGCCTCTACAAGCCCCTGCGCATCCCTCTCCTTCTGCCCGTACGAATTGGCCTGCCACGCCTGCCTCGCAGGCTCAGACCCACCTCTCCCCTGCTGCCGAACCTGCCGGTCAGGCTCGGCGTCACCGCGCCACGGCTTGAGCGTAGCCTCGGACTCCCACACGCCCTCATGCTGGCAGTCCACAACGAGGTCCCTGGCGGCCTGCAGCACGCTGTGAATGGCGTCCTGGTTGCGCGAGTACCCCTCAAACGCCGCAAAGTCCTCGTGCGTTAGGCTCGCCAGGGGGGACATCGGTGGGGTCGTTCGAACGCCACCGCTACCGCCACCCCCGCCGCCGCCGCCGCCACCGCCACCACCCCTTCCTACCACAGCCCCCCGCCCTCCCCCTCTACCGCCTCCCGGCCGCCTACCGATGGCACCCACCCCAGGGAAGCCGTCCCTAGAATGCCTCTCCCCAAAAGGCTCCTCCCCAGGGAGAACCTGCGCCAGAGGGGAGGTGGTCCGCGCTCCTGCTGCTGCTGCCCGTAACCCTTGCCCAGGGCCACCTATCGCGCGCCCCTCCAACCCCCCGTGCCCCGTTTGCCTCTCCCCTGCGCCAACCCCTGACCATTCCGCGGGGGACGCGCCTGCACCCGGTAACTCCTTACCGCTTCCACCCGCACCGCCACTCCCACCACCGCCTCCGCCGCCGCCTCCTGCTCCTACTCCTCCTACTCCTCCTCCTCTTCCTAATCCGCCGCCCCTGCCGGGTCCGCTGCTCCCACTCAAGGGATGCCGAGTCCCAGCACCCAGCTGGTTACCACCGGCGGCGAAACCGGCGACGTGGGTGCCATCCGCGAGGTCGTTTGACATCACGAACTGCTGCGAATCATACGAAATTGGCCTGCGGCGATCCTTGTTGAGAGCACTCACGGGACTCCCGCGACCTGGTCCCGGCGCGCGGGGAGGCACACGGGACGCGGATGCCATCTCCCCCATGTGCCCCACGCTGTGGCTCGAAACCCTAATTCGCCGTCCCGGCAAGCCGCCGTCCGTCTGCGGCGCATACGCTTCACTATTCTGCTGGGAATAATTTACCTTCGATGGGTCCCGGTAATCCGCCTCTAGTACCTGTTCTTCCGAGTGAGATGTTCGACGCCCCGCGCCGCGCGTGGCGACGTCAGGCGAGGAGGAGAGGGAGGAGGCGAAGCTTGGCAGATTACTGTGGCTCCGGCTGTGCCGGTCTGACGATTCCTGACGGAGCCGCATCGCGGCTGACGGCGGCCGGCCGAAATTGTCGGCGGATTGCTGCCGGCCGTGACGTGGCCGGTAGAGACTCGGAAACGGCAAGCTTCCATGCTGCTGCGCCGCGGCGCCAAGTGGCGGTGTCGCTCCCGAAGCGGTGGTTTGTTCGGGACGGGCGATGTAAGTTTCTTGGTCGAACGGCTCGTTCTCAAACGACTGCGGCTGCAGCTGCTGCTGGTGCGAGGGGAGCTGGCGTTGGCGTTGCCGTGGATCAGCGCGTGGCTCGTACTGACGTTGCTGCTCCTGCTGCTGTCGCCGCTGCGGCCGTCCCTGCTGCTGCTGTTGCTGCTGTTGCTCATAATAATACCGCTGCTCCTCTTCTTGCAGGTTATTCTGCTGATTCTGCTGGTACTGCTGGTACTCGCCGTCACGCGGTTCCCTCTCGTCGCGATAGTCTCCCCCATATTGCATCGTCGCATCAAGCTGCGGCTCCTGCACCTGCCGCTGCTCCTGTTCATGCCGCCATTGCTCCACGGGAATCAACAAGCTACCGGCCGACGCGCCTCGCCGGTGCTGACCCCGACGGAGCCCGGTCGACGGACGCGTCTGTGGCTGGGTAGCGTACGGCTGTGATTCATAAGGTTGTTGATCGTACGGTGAGGGGGCAGAAGCGGCGTTGGACGACATCCTTCCTGACCGTTGATTCGAGGGGATGTCGTAGCAATCGCGGAATACGTCCGCGGTGCTCATGCTTCGCAATTGACGGCCTTGATGCGTCGAGAAGGCATTGGTTGTGCAACGAGAATTATGGCCATCCGTTCTAATACATTACCTAGGAATGACCTCTCGAAACACAAAAACGCGTTTCGACAAAGCCCCAAGCCAGCCACGTGCAATACAATCCGACCACTAGAAGATGCAGAGCTTGCGGAACGATTCCAAGCAGACGTGAACAGTGTAAGGACACTCTTGGGAAGGGAATCAGAGAAGTCTGGCGCTGAGCTGAGCTGACGGGTTCGTTCGTTGAAGGCTCTGGCTGGTGGTTGGCGGAGGAACAACTCACATCCTCCCTCCCACCCACCCACCCACTCAGGGAAATCAAAACCAACACGAGGGGTACAGTGTACTGTACACGCGGCCCTCGTCCCGTCACACACCCTGTTCGGCTGCTCTTCCAATTCCCGTCCCGTGACACAGCAATGCAGCAACCTCCTCTCCCTCATCCACCCAACCCCAGCCCCTCTTCTTTATGGACAGGCACGGGCCTCGTTTGTGTTAGGAGAATCGAGTTTCTGCCGCCCCAGCCCTTTGCACACAAGCAGCAGCAAGGGGGAATGTCGGCGATGAATCAGAGCTTCGGGAAGTACTTCGAAAGTTCCACCACCAATCAGATTTCAGCCGAAGACTCGATATAGTTCAAAGCTGCCTTCAAACCGAAGTGTTGGCAGTTTCTACAGGTTTCTACACATCAGAATCAGCTATAACAGAAATATCCAGAGTTTTCTTATTCATGCACCTCATGTGGCACTCAAAGTCACTCAAGGTCCATCCAATCTAGATTGTGCCCAAGTTACCAGGGAAGTTACATTGTCTATCAGCCTAGTTTGAGCTTTCAATCTGTCTTGTTTGTGATGCCTAGAGTTGTGCTTTAGTGGGCTTGTTAATCTTGAGCATAGTGTAAGTTTTCTCTCATCAAGCCAAGTCCAGCAGCTCTGTTGAGCTCTTCCAGCCAAGTTTCCAGCCTTCCAGTCATCAGAGCTACTCTGTTTTACAAGTTGGTATCAGAGCCCGTCGTTTCGATCAACCGAGCCCTCCACCTCCCTATCCTAGCACAAACCGTCCATGGCGGGAGACAACCCATCTGGCCCTGTACTCCAGCCAGCCGGAGGAGCTTCAGAGTCAACATCAGCAGCTACGGGATTAGTGGAAGCAGTTGCACCAGGCAGTCCTTCAACAACATACTCACCACTCACCTCCTTCATGCCTAAGCTTCACCTCCCCAAGTTCAACGGCAAAGATTTTCCAACATGGGCAACCCAGTTTGAGCTCACTGCATCTCTTCTGGATCTGTGGCCTTACTACACTGGAGAAGCATCCAAACCAGCAGCAGATGCTTCAGAAGCTGAAAAACGACTTTACGAACGACGCAACAAGGAGGCCTTCCTCTACCTACTCAATAGCATTCACGAGCAGCAGTTGAAGTCGCTCCTGCCCTGTTCTACCAAGGCAAACAGTGCAGAGGAAGCATGGAGCCGACTGAAGACTATGCACCAGTCAAAATCCGAGAGCAGCCAAGCCGAGATGTGGAGCCGCTTCATGAATCTGAAGATGGAAGAAGATGAATCAGCACAAGCCTACCTACAACGAGCTGAAGCAATGCTGGAGGAAGCAGCAACGATCGGCTTGGAGATTCCAGAGTCTCTTTTCAAGACCGTCATCCTCACCGGCCTTACACCGGAGTGGGACACTTTCCGTGCAACACTACAAGCGCTCCCGCAGTCAATGAAGAGTCATGCGTTCATCTTTGAGGCCCTTGTCAACGAGCAGCAGAGTCGAGACCTTGCACGGAACAAGCGGAGTGACGAAGGTGCGTGGAGTGCTGCAGCAGCCACAAGATATGGCAACCAATTCCAGAGGCAAGGAAATTTCAGCCCAAACCGCCCTCAACCCTACTACGGTACGAAATTTCAGTCACCTTCCAACCCATACAAACCCTCTCGTTTTCCTCAGTCAAGTCCTCCCTATAAGTCCAGTCACTATGTCCAGCCAAGGCCTTCGATTCCCAATCAATACCAGCCTAGGAATGCAAGAGTCAATATGCCAAGAGTCAATAATTTCAGCCAAGCCCCGAATGCTAAAAAGTTTAATTTTGAGTGTTTTTGTTGTCATGAGTGGGGTCATCCGTGGTATGCTTGTCCTAAGAAGCCTCCTAATTGGGTCCCCCCTCCTCAGCTACTATCTGAAAAGGGTAAGGCAGCCATAGCAAATATAGCAAGTCATTCTACAAGTCAAAATGAGTCCAAAGATTCTGATGGTCCTGTCCTTTTCAACGCTGCTACTTGCATGCACGTTTTTTCTACTAGTAGTGAGGAGTTTATTCTTGATAGTGGCTGTTCTGAAACCATGACTCCCTATCAGTCCATTCTCAAAGATTTTCAGCCCTCGTATGACTCAAAAGCTGTGACACTTGCTGATCTTGGCAAAGTACCTATCAAAGGAGTCGGCAAGCTTGAGTTTGAAAAGGATGGTAAGTCTTTTTGTGTCAATAAAGCTTTATTTGTTCCTGATTTGGGAGCAAACTTGCTCTCAGCTGGACAACTTGAAGAGAAAGGTGCCTCTGTTCTTTTGCAAGGGGGGAAAGCCAAAGTGTGGGATAGTGCAGGAAATTTGGTGGCTGAAGGCGAGCGTACCGGGCGTCTCTACAAGATGAAGTTGGAGATTAAGCGCGGTTCTAGCAACGCGAAGAACGACGTTGTTTCGCTTTCCGCTGTTTCAACCGATCAAGTCAACAACAAAGGGAGTATCTCCCAAGCTGAGGTATGGCATGCACGCTTGGGGCACTTGGGGATGCAAGCATTCAAAGAGTTAGTAAGTCACAAGAGCGTGGAAGGACTTAATTTGAGTGAAAGTGCAGTCAAGTCTCTTTCTACCGTCCCATGCCCATCTTGTGTCGAAGGTAAGTTAGCAAGAAAGCCATTTTTTCCTTCTAAGTCTCAGTCAAGGGACCTCCTAGAGTTGGTCCACACTGATGTATTCGGCCCCATGCGAGACCCTACTCGAAACGGTAAGAAATATTTGGTGTCTTTCATTGATGACAAGAGTCGTTTCTCGTGGTCCTTTTTCATCAACACCAAGGATGAAGTGCACAAGTGTTTCAAGCAATGGCTAGCACTTGTTGAGAGAGAGTCAGGGAAGAAGTTACTCACCTTGAGGTCGGATCGAGGAGGTGAGTACATGGGGAAAGCGTTTCAGGGGGAGTTGTTGGCATTGGGCATCAAACAACAGTTCACTTGTCCCTATAGTCCTCAGCAAAATGGAGTGGCAGAGAGGTTTCATCGCACTATCCAGGCTATAGCTACCGCTTTCCTTCAGTTCAAAGGCCTTGACAAGCTCTGGTGGGGTGAGGCAATCACTATGGCAATTTATGTTCGCAACAGGAGACCCACAAGGCCCTTACTGGAAGGTGTAACGCCATATGAGGCTTGGTTTGGAGTTAAACCAGATCTGTCTATGCTTCGTGTTTTTGGTTCCATGGCCCAATACCGTGTTCCAGATGCAAAGAGACTCAAGCTGGACAGCAAAGCTCATTGGGGCCTCTTCATCGGCATGAGCAATGAGAGCAAGGGATGGGTCCTTTGGGATCCTGTCACCAAGCGAGAAGTGGTTTCAAGGGATGTTGTCTTCTATGAAGACATGTCCCTTGCAGGTTGGCATAAGTTTTCCTCTTCCTCCTCTCTACCCTCTATCCAACAGGAACCAGCAAGCGCACCTGAGGAAACAACACAAGAGGAGGAAGAAGATGACACCGATTCTGACCATAGCGGACCGATCATCGATCTCCCTCAAGCCGTCGTCAACGAGTCCAACCGTGCCACGCCAGTGCCACCAGCAGCTACTCAACCAAGTGGAGATGAAGTTCAGCCATCAAATGAAGACAATCCACCGCAGCAAGTCACCGTTCCATCACCACCAAAGGAGCAGCAGCCAACAGTCACAAACCAGCCAGCTATATCAACACCAACCTCACAATTTCAACGCCAACCGGATCAGCCCACCACTACGCCATCAAACCCATCACCAGCCATCACTCCAGAGGCAACTACAGAAGCTCATCATCATCCCATGCAGCAGCAATCAACAGCTACAAGACCCCAAGTACCTACATCAACACCATCTACGACTCTTCCTAGCAACAAGTCAACCGTCACCGCAACACCTCGTTCTCATACCACACGTTCATCACTTGTTCCAACGTCAAGCCAGCTCATAGCACGAGGATCACTTCAGCGAGTCACCACCAACACCAGCTCCAACAGTCCACTTCTTCACCCAAGACCTTTCTCAACTTCACCCCCACGTCCCGGATTCGGTCGTCATCAGTTACCACCATCTTCAACACCGAGCAACAACACCAACCAGCCCCAACCATCACCACCTCTCGACAAGGCAGCGTCATCATCAATTCCCAAGCTTCTAGTCTCAAGATCCCCACCAAGAGCATCTTCACAACCAACTATGCCGACAAACGTTTCAGCTTCACTGCCACGAGTCACCATACCTAATCCTCAAGTCAACACCGATAATCAAGATATTTCCACGCCAGGAGAAGAACAAGCAGCCGTGCCGCCGTCGCAGCCGATGTCGCAGCCGTTGTCTCAGCCGCAAATGACCGCATCAACGCAATCAAACACAGTGAGACCGAACCCTACCACTAATGTGTCTCAGCCAACTGAGGAGTTTGGTAAAGGTAAACGAGTCCGCAAGGTAAAAAAGCCCTTCAATTTCATGGTTGACATGTCATCAAGGTGCACATGTGAGGAGAGTGAGAATTGCATTCACAAGAAGGTAGAGGCAATATGCATGGCAGCATCACACCTTCCGCGAGAGCCCTTGAGTCGTCGTGAGGCAATGGCAAGTCCCGAAAGAGAGCATTGGTTGAAAGCCGAGGAAGAGGAGATTGAGAGTCTCATGAAGCGAGGTACATGGCGTCTTGTTGAGCCACCTCCAGGGAAGAAGGTAATTGGTGTCAAATGGGTGTACAAGATCAAGGTAAAAGGTGATGGTAGCCTCGATAGGTACAAGGCAAGGTTAGTGGCAAAAGGTTATTCCCAAATTCCAGGTCTTGACTTCACCGAAACCTTTGCCGTGGTAGCAAAGTACACCACGGTACGAGTCCTCCTCGCCATAGCCGCATATCTTGGTCTCCATATCCATCAAATGGATGTCAAGAACGCATTTCTCTACGGTGTCTTGGAAGAAGAGGTATACATGGCATAACCCGAAGGTTATGATGACGGTACGGGTCGAGTGTGTCGCTTGGTAAAGTCCCTTTATGGTCTCAAACAGTCCCCACGGGTTTGGTATCATGCTCTTGAGCAGGTACTTTTCAAGCATGGTTTCACAAGGTCCATGAGAGACAACGCTCTGTACTTCATGCACACGAGTGAGGGGGAGTACATTTGGCTCTTGGTATATGTCGATGACCTCCTCCTAGTCTCAGGTTCTCTTGATCTTCTCAACAAGGTGAAAGGTATTCTCACGAGTGCATTCACGATGACCGATCTTGGTGAGCCGAGTCATTATCTTGGTATGAACATTGTGAGAGATCGTAAGTCACGGTCCATCTTCCTATTCCAGCAAAGGTACATCCAAAAGGTCCTTGAGAGGTTTGGTCTTGATGATAGCAAGCCATCACCTACCCCACTTCCTTCCAAATTTGTCCCTTTGTCTTCACATCAGCCCTATGAAGAGAGAGAGTCAAGCCTTGATATCATAGGTATTAAAGAGTTGTGTCTTGAGGAGAGTGAGCATCATGGTGAGAATTCACTTAAGGTATCCCCACAAGACCTAGCTCTGTACCAAAGTCAGGTTGGGTGTCTCATGTATGCAGCCCTATGCACAAGGCCCGACTTAGCATTCACGGTATCTAAGCTAGCTCAACACATGAGTGCCCCTTCACCTATTCATATGCATGCAGCCAAGCGAGCTCTTCGGTATCTCAAAGGTACTTCTAATCATGGTCTTCTCTTCCAAGCCAGCCCATATGCAAGCTCCCTCCAAGGCTTTACCGATGCAGATTGGGCGGGAGAATTGAGCACACGCAAGTCTACCGGCGGCTACATCTTCCTCATGTGTGGTGCCGCTGTTTCTTGGCAATCGCGCAAGCAAAGTTCTGTGGCACTTTCAACAATCGAAGCTGAGTACATGGCAATGACCGAAGGAGCAAGGGAGGCAATCTGGTTACGTGGACTCTTGGAGGAATTGAGGCAGCCGCAAACTCAACCAACTCCGCTCTACGTGGACAACACTTCAGCCGTAGCTCTTTCCAAGAACCCGGTTCATCATGGGCGTACAAAACACATCGAGGTGCAGTACCACTTCATTCGTGAGCAACTAGAGAAGGGAGTTATCGCCGTCAACTTTTGCCGTTCATTCGATCAAGCAGCAGATTTCATGACCAAGGTTCTTCCACATGATGCATTCAACATGTGCAAGGCAAGAGCAGGCCTCATGACACTTCATGAAGCAGTGGAGCAGTTTGAGGAGAATGAGTGTGAGGGGAAGAGACGTGGGCAGCAGCATGAAGTGTATGCTAAGGAGATGTGAAAGGAGCATCAGCATGGGTGTATGTGTGCTTCGGGTCTGGTGCGAGGGGGAGTGTTGGAGAATCGAGTTTCTGCCGCCCCAGCCCTTTGCACACAAGCAGCAGCAAGGGGGAATGTCGGCGATGAATCAGAGCTTCGGGAAGTACTTCGAAAGTTCCACCACCAATCAGATTTCAGCCGAAGACTCGATATAGTTCAAAGCTGCCTTCAAACCGAAGTGTTGGCAGTTTCTACAGGTTTCTACACATCAGAATCAGCTATAACAAAAATATCCAGAGTTTTCTTATTCATGCACCTCATGTGGCACTCAAAGTCACTCAAGGTCCATCCAATCTAGATTGTGCCCAAGTTACCAGGGAAGTTACATTGTCTATCAGCCTAGTTTGAGCTTTCAATCTGTCTTGTTTGTGATGCCTAGAGTTGTGCTTTAGTGGGCTTGTTAATCTTGAGCATAGTGTAAGTTTTCTCTCATCAAGCCAAGTCCAGCAGCTCTGTTGAGCTCTTCCAGCCAAGTTTCCAGCCTTCCAGTCATCAGAGCTACTCTGTTTTACAAGTGTTTGGCCAGTCGAGCAGGACGCGGTGGGTGAATCGACCTTGGGATTGTCAAGTCAGGAAGGGCTTGTTTGTTGCAAACAGAAGGATGTCCGCCCGGGATGCCCTTCGACACGAAGCTGCCGAGGGCTGCGACGGCAAGACACCCAGATCCGAACCACATGTGAACGCGACCCAATCAATTCGCTGCGGATCAGACAAGAACCAAACATCTAGGCGACGCAAGCCGCTGATGCACCCACCCAGATGCCAACAGCACACGCCCCCCAGTGACTGGATAGATGTAGGTCGTTTGGCTGGCTGGACGCCAGATCATTACTACTACTGTGGATGTATGCTTCTTATAGTGTACCATCCTTACAAAAAAAACAAAAAGGTCAATTAACAGGGGGGGCTACTACCCAGGAGGTTAATGTTATACAATCATACAGTACGTAGCGTAAGGGAATATGGCCCCCACCCAGGAGGATAACATGTGACCTCCTAATTCGTCAGGGCCCACAACAATTGACCTGCCTGGTCTGCACGTAACACCCATGGGTGTACAATTTCAGGACATTGATGAAATCATGCTTTAGGGTCCGAAAAAGCTGAAGGCATGTCAAAGTTGAACATGCCCCGGTAGGAATTATGCGAGGACAGCCAGTCCAACCCACTGGCTTTAAGTAGTGGTGCAGCCAGTATCACCCAAAGCACAACACACAACTACAATCCTCACCTTCTTCATCATCCATCCACATACGGCATTGGCATCACAGGGCGACTTCACTACCTCCAGTGCCTCCTTGACCACATCCACTATCCTACTAGCCGACCAACGCCTGCCCCACACCCCCCTTGGAACACCATCACCTCCACCTCTCTTCACACCCCGGCCCCCAACACACTTAGGCAGCATTCTTCGTGTCAACCCCGCGCACCAGCTCCGCCACCTCGTATCTAACCTCTTCCAGCGCCTCATTGATCTCAAATAAGACCCCAGCATTCCCAGTCGTACTTCCCCCATTAGGGAAACATCATCATCACTCCCCATCGACCTCCCCCAACACCTCTGCCACCTCATAGCATATCAATGATGTCATGAGCCATTGGAGCCAAGCCATGCCAGCTCTACTCCCCCACCAGCTCCTCCATCTCATACCTCACCTCCTCCATCTCATACCTCACCTCCTCTAGCGCCTCATAGTCTCCCAACTTTCAAGCCAAGCAACTAAAGGAACACCATCACTTTCCTTCCCACACCAACACCCCTCTAAGCAGCCTCCTCCGCGTCAGCTTCCCCCACCAGCTCCGCCACCTCATACCTCACCTCCTCCAGCACTTCACGGTGTTCAACTCATGAACTACTAAAGCCAAGAGCCATGGCAGTCCTACTCCTACTCCCCCACCAGCTCCGCCACCTCATACCGCACCTCCTCCAGCGCCTCATTGATCTCCCCCACTATGCGCGCCAGGGCCTGCCGCACCTCCGCCACCGCTGCATCATACTCCGCATCTAGACGCACCACTGCACACTGCTCCTCCCACTCGCCCTCCCCGTCCTCATCCCCATGCCCCACCACACCACTGCCCGTGCCACCACCACCAGCGTTGCTACTGCTGTTTCTGCTGCTGCTGTGCTCACACCCGCACCCGCCTGCCCTGCGTGCAGCAGTGAAGGCGGCAGCAGCGGCTTCAGGTGGGATCCCCTGGAGCGGCGCGGACACGCCTGACAGCCCCTGGACCGGGGCAGCATGCCCTGCAGGAGAGGCCTCTGGGGCAGGGCCTCCTGGGGCAGGGCCTCCTGGGGCAGGGCCTCCTGGGGCAGGGCCTCCTGGGGCAGGGCCTCCTGTTACAACATGTGACTGGGCTTCAGCGGAGGCTGGGATGCTGCTGGTTGGAACAGGGGCATCGGGAGAGACCAGTGAGGCATGCGCCAGGTCACGGGCAATGTCACAATCAGCACCACCTGTGGATGCGTCTTCCCCACCTGCAAACCTCGTCGTGCCGACACACTCGTCTGTGTCTGCATCACCGTGGGACCTGAGAGTCTGTGTGTCTCTCTCGTCTGCCATCTGTCCGCCGCCCACACCTGCCTGCTCCTCGCTGCCCTGCTGCCGCTCACCATCACCCACCCGCACATCACCATCGGCACCACCATTTGCAGCACCATTTGCATCACCACTTGCACCACCATTGGCAGCACCATCATGCTCACGATGCCCTGCGCATCGCCCCTCGCTCTGCTGCAGCCCCTGCTGCTCTGCCAGTGGCGGTGGCTGCTGCAGGGGCTGCGGGTGGTCCCTGTGCCGCTGCGGCAGAAAGGAGACGATTTGAGAGCGCGGGCGGTCGGACGGACGGAGAGACTTGCGCAGCACGTGATGCACGGCCGTCTGGGAAGAGATCAGGTCACATGATGTGATGGGATGGGGCAGGAGGATGGGATGGGGCAGGAGGATGGGATGGGGTGGCATGCAGGATGCAACGGGGTGGGGTGGCATGACAGGATGGGTTGGGATGGGATGGCATGATAGGATGGGATGGGACGCACAACATGGGTGGTAGGCGAGGAAGCAAGGGGCAGACGAGGCGGATGTCACACGCTGTTGCAGGCGCAGATGCAGGAGAACTTGTGAGAGTTGTGATGGACGGCTGTCTGTCTGGTGACCAAGTGGGGCATTCACGTTCGCACATGGGACAGCGGGGATAGAAGCATAGATTGGCATCCCATCCCATCAAATCCCATCCCATCCCATCCCATCAAATCCCATCCCATCCCATCCCATCCCATCCCATCCCATCCCATCCCATCCCATCCCATCCCATCCCATCCCATCCCATCCCATCCCATCCCATCCCATCCCATCCCATCGCATCCAACCACCCTCCACCGCATCGAGTCTCACCAGGTGCAGCTTCTCCCGCTCCTGCTCCTGCACGCGCCGCACAACGTCCGCCAGGTCCGCGCGCCCCACGCCCTCCGCCCGCAGCTGCGCCTCCACCTCGCGCACCTGGGGGAAGGGGGAGCGCGGAGGGGGGTACACGACCGGGGTGAAAAAGCAGCAGCGAAACGATCGGCCTGAGAGCATGACAACTTTTCCCGCGCATCCTCGCAAAAAAAAAAAAAAAAAAAAAAAAAAAAATCATCGCTGAAAATTATTGTTCGAGGTTGTGACTGAGCGGAGCTCTAGCAGCAAGCACCTACGGAGCTTGGTTGCTCCTACCCGCTGCTACTTGGAACAAGCGCCGTCGAACGCACCTTAAGCGAGCAGCGCGTGAAGTCGGCCGTTATGGCCTGGCACGCGCGGTGGAAGGCGGAATCCGGTGAGACTCCTGAGAGGTCCGCCGCGAACGCGCTGCGGGGAAAGACGGAAGGAAGGGGAGTGTGGCACAGATGAGGGAGGGGAAGAGAGGAGCTGGAAGTTTTGACTCTTGCTGCGCAGCCTTCTTTAAGCAACACGGAGACGGGTGACTGAGGCGACACGAAGGCCGCCGATGACGCTCTCGCGCGGAGACGGTACAAGCATCAGGAATTGTCGCGCCGTGATACAAAGCCGTGGACTCGGCGATCGCTGAGAGCGGCGTTTTCATTGAGCTGATGGGAATGGGTTCCGAGTCAGGCTCGGCTGAACGGGATCCGAAGCGGAATTCGGTTCTAGCGATCCGAGTCAGTCTGGGAACATGAGGGGGTGATGCGAACGCAAGAGTCGCGGTGGAAGGGTGGCATCGTACCCTTCGAAAGCATGGTAGATCCGCGCGCGATCCGCCTGGACGTTCAGGAAATCTCGAAGCAGATCAGCGACGGACATGGCGTGAGAGCTCAGCGGAGAAAACGGATTGCGACAGCGCTCACTCGCGAAATCGCACAGCCGTAGATGGATGCAAGCAGCAAGGATTGGCTGCAGAAGCTGGATTGATGAATCAGGTCGTATCCCTGGCTGGTGGCAAGAAGTTGGTGGCAAGAAGTTTCCGCACGCGATTGGTCCAAAACAGACGCCCGGCCAATGCGATTGGGCAAGCGTTGTTTTTAACCAATCGCGTGCGCACAATTCTTGCCACCAACTTCTTGCCACCAGCCAGGGATACGACCTCAGGCTCGAACTCCTGCGCACTGACATAGAGGTAACTGGAACAGCAGTTTCTTCGCAGTGCTGTGCGATGACAAAGGGCAAAAGAGCGCGCCATTTTTATACGTTCCACGAACAGATGCGAAACGAATTCACCGAGGAGCAGCAGTAACCCGTGAAAGGAACAGAATGAGTGGTATTCGAGACCTGTTCGAAAGTGAAATTCCTTGTCAGAGTTTCAAAACAGATGAATTTGTATACAGTATTCCACCAATGTTTCAGTCCCATTGTTTCAGTCCCGATGTTGCAGTCCCATTGTTTCAGTCCCAATATTTTTTCCGGACCACGTACGCCTTTTCAAACGCGCCCCTACCTCGTTCGTCTACCCCCAACCCACTACGCCTCCCTCCCTTCCCTATCAGTTATCCTGCCACCTGTCCGTCCATCTTTCCGCATGTTCACCAGGTCCTAGGTCATTTTTACTGGTCCTTACCGCCATTTGTCCTATCTGGACGGACTAAAGGATATCCCAGCTCCAGGGCCGCAGATCACATTCCTAGCCACCTCGTCGCACTTTAGTAGCCGGTTCAGGGTTTAGGGCTGGCTGGTGTCACGCTGTCGGCGCATTACTCTCCGCCCCGCATACCCTTTCCGCTCTGTCGCATGCCCCGCGCGTCATGAAACGCGGAAGGCAGGGGTCCGCGCTCCCCCCCTGGCTCGCGTATCGCCTCTCCCAACTCGTTCCTCCCGGCTCGTTCCTTCACTCCTCTTACCACAGATTACGACAAAACTTCGCCTCCTCGCGCCGCTCCCAGGCCGCCGCCGTCTCCGTCCTCGCTATAGTCATCCTTTTTATCATTATCGCCCTCCTGCGATCCCGACCCCCCGCCGACTCACGGCCGATCGAGGAGCGCGAGAACTGGCGAATAGAGGCGAATCGCGCGTGTCTGCGGAAGAAGGAATGGCGGCGTCCGCTGTGTTGGCGCACGGAGGGCATCGTGTGGCACGTGCGCCAGTTCGAAATCTGGAAAGTCGTCGCCTGGGAGGCGGCAACCACCGCCGCCGCTGACGCTGCTCAGGACCCAGAAACAGCCTCCGCAACCGGCGGCGGCGGAAGCGGCGGAAACACCGGGAACGGCGGAGGATCGGCAACAGCGGGTTCAGCATCAACGGCTGTAGCGGGATCGGCTGTAGCGGGCGTGCTGCCGTCGTCAGCCGTGACCGTCCCGATGAGCCAGATCGACCTGGGGATCCTCAAGAGCCCCGCGCTCGCCGCCAAGTGGACGGCCGGCACGAAGCCGGCGCCGGACGGGCTGCTGCACGTGCTGGTGGACCAGTTCCCGTGCGCCGCGCACGGCTGCTGCGCCATCCACTGGCAGCTTCGACCTAATTCCACGGACCTGCTCTCCTTAGGAAACCACTTTGTGCGCTTCGAGTACTCCGCGCTGCTTAAGATTCCGATCGAGCCGAAATATATTCTGGACGCGGGCGGGACGGGGATGGCGGCGCTGGCGTTCGCGCTGCTGTACCCCGACGCGCTGGTGGTGCGCGTGGAGCCCGAGGCGGAGAACTTCCGCGTGGGGGTGGTGAGCAGCGCGCGCGTGGGCAACATCGTGCACGTGCGCGCCGCGCTCTGGGACCGCATTGCGCCGCTCTCCTTGTGCGAATCGCAGTCGGAACTGCCCGGGGATGCCGACTGGCCGTTCGCGAATTCGAGCCGGCAGTTAGGGTTTGTGACAGAGGAAGGCGGGGAAAGCGGAGGCGGAGGGGGAGGGGGTGGCGGAGCGGGGAGTGGCAAGAAGAAGAGGGTGAAGGAAGCGAAGCGGACAAGGTACCAGGAAAGTCTGGTGGGAGCAGGGCCGACATGCGAAGGCAGGGTGAGAGGGCACGTGCAGGGCAGCACGCTCACAGCAATCATGGCAGCGTACGGAATCCCGAGATTTGATCTGGTGAAGATGGATATCGAGGGGGCGGAGCGGAGGGTGTTTGCGCACAAGCCGTCGCTGAGGGTGCTGCGCGGTGTGCAGGTGTTCATAGGCGAGCTGCATGAGGGAGGGGGCGTGTGCGAGGGTTGCAAGGGAACGGTGCTGCGGAATTTTGAGCGGTGGGGAGGGTTTAAGAAGTTTGTGGATGGGCGGAATGTGTTGATGCTAAGTCGAGACCTCTTCTCGTGCTAGCAGGAAGCAGGAGGGTTTGAAGATAATTTTGAATGCTGCAACAAGAATTGGTCTCATATTGAGACCAAGCCAACTAAGCTGAACCCATCCGGGTGCAACTCACTCTTGCTAGTACTGGCGGACATCAGATCGCTACTGAAGCAGCTCTCAGTTATTTTCACGAATGCTCGGTTCAGAGGCTTGATTTGGTGCCCTGTAGGTAACACTAATTGCTCATGACCATGCCACAACCAATGCATGAGACAGGCAACCTATGTTGCCAACATAGCAATGTAGAAATGGGATCGGAGGCAGCATGGATGATAGGCAAGTTGCTCAGATCCGATGTTGATCGTCCCTAGGATCACCTCAGGAAGGTTCGCGCACAACTGATTGGTAGTGGTGGGCCCTTGACCTCAATTCAGAGTGGATGTAAAATGATTGAGATGTCAGATAAACATGCAAATACAGGAATATAACCGTCATACCCCGGATATACCCCCATGGGGGGGTGTAATAAAACATGTTTTTTTAGGGGGGTGTGTCAAATTTATATGCTAGTCTGTGTAGGCTGTAGTGGGGTAGTTCATATGGGTTTATTCCGTAGCGGCAGTGGCAGTGGCAGTCAGGGACCACTTTCTCTCCCTTTGCCCCACCGAGCTCACCGTTGACCCGCTGGAGGAGCGCCTCACTTCAGCTGAGAACAGTATAGTTGCTGTAGGTGCTTCTCGCGGCGACCCTCGCGCCCCTTTCTTTGAGGGGTGTTCCCCCGTTCCCCTTCTGCCCTCTGTTGCTTCTGCTGCTGCTGTCGACCTCGTTGGCACCGAGCAGGTCGGGGCTGCGTCTGCTCCTATTGAGAGGCGCCGCAGCGGCAAGGGCAAGGGGGGCAAGGGTGGTGGAGGGGACGGCGGGGGCGGCGGTGGTGGCGGTGGAGGAGGCGGAGGGGGTGGGGGTGGAGGCAAGGGTGGTGGCGGGGGTGGGGGTGTCGGTGGTGGCGGTGGAGGTGGTGGAGGCAGCGGCAGCGGTGGTGGAGGCAGCGGCAGCGGTGGTGGAGGCAGCGGCAGCGGTGGTGGAGGCAGTGGCAGCGGTTCTGGAGGTGGCGGCGGCGGTGGTGCTGGTCGGGGTGGAGCTGCGCAGCGTGGAGGCTTCGGCGGTCGCCAGCGCCAGCAGCAGCAGCTTTCCCGTGAGACCCCGTCGCCTCAGCAGCTTCGTGAGTGGTACGCTGGGCGTGGGAGGTCTGGGGGTGCTGGTCCCTGCACTTACGTTCTCCGCACCGGCGGTCGCCGTGGGGAGACGTGCGGAGGGCCACACACGTCGCAGCGCCGTTTCGGTCGCCTGTCTGACGCCTGGCGCGCGCAGTTTCCTGACGCTCCTGAGCTCCCTAGCTGGGCTGATCTGCTTAGGCAGAATGTTGATATCTTTGCTCTAGACTTTGATGCTATCCTTGCTGCCATGTATGCTGTGTCTACTAGTGCTGAGGGTGACTGTTACCTGTGTGTGCCGCCCGACCCAGGTATAGAGTCTACTGCTCTAGGTGCTGGTGAGGCTGCTGCTCTAGGTGCTAGTGAGTCTGCTACTCCAGGTGCTGGTGAGTCTGCTCTCTCTGGTACTGCGCCTGCTGAGGCCTTGCACACCTTCACACTTGACTCAGGTGCTTCCCGCTCCTTCTTTCGCGACAGCACCACACTCACGCCGCTCAGTCGGCCAGTTGCAGTCTCCCTGGCGGACCCCTCTGGGGGCCCCGTCCTTGCGCACTCTTCCACGGTCCTACCGTGTCCGGCTGTCCCGTCTGGCTCACTGTCGGGTCTCCACCTCCCCTCGTTCTCTACGAACTTGGTGAGTGGAGCTGACCTCCAGGATGTGTGGGTTGACCAGTTCACCCCTGGAGGTCAGCGTGTGACCCACTGTACGTGCTCCCGGACTGGTCGGCACCTGGCCACGTTCACCCGAGCGCCTGGCTCGAGTCTGTACACACTGACCACTGTGTCCCCTCAGGTAGCTGCGTCTGCGTCTGCGTTTGCGTCAGGTCAGCTAGCGCCCCCCTGCTCGTGTCGCGCTTTGTCGCACCAGACTGTCATTTGGCACCACCATCTTGGTCACCCCTCGGTGCAGCGCCTTCGTGGCATGCACCGACGTCTCCTTGTCACAGGACTTCCAAAGACTTTGCCTCCTCTCCCACCCTCGCCTGCCCCTCCCTGCCTTCCCTGTGTCGAGGGGCGGCAGCGCGCCGCTCCTCACTCCTCCTCAGTCCCCCCGACGACTGCTCCCCTGCAGACCCTGCACATGGACGTGTGGGGCCCAGCCCGCGTCCGTGGACAGGACCGCGAGCGGTACTTTTTGCTGGTCGTTGACGACTACACGCGTTACACCACGGTCTTCCCATTGCGCACCAAGGGTGAGGTCCCTGATGTTTTGATCCCTTGGATCCGCGCTGCCCGTCTCCAGCTCCGCGAGCGGTTCGAGACGGACTTTCCCGGCCTGCGTCTGCACTTTGACAGAGGTGGTGAGTTTGCCTCTGACTTTCTGCGGGACTTTTGTCGTGGGGAGGGCATTCGCCAGACGTTCACGCTCCCGGCCTCACCGCAG